GTGAGGGGGAGCTGGAGAAGAGGAAACCATGGGCTGGGTGCTGGGCTGGGCTCTGAGTTCTTGCTGCAGAAGCAGAGACTGGGGAGCTGGGGAGGACTATAGGAAGTTTCATAGGACTAGAAGTTGTGGACGGTCTCTGGGTGAGGGGAGAAATCTTACAGGGAGGTCAGCCTGGTTGATTCCTAGGAGGAAGACCAGCTGGGCCAGGCCCAGAGCAGCAGTCAGGTTCCGTCGGATGCCATGCTGGTTGGAGCGTAGGGCACGCAGGATAGTGAGGAAGAGGAAGGCGAGCAGTAGGGCAGCCAAGGTGACCCCTAGGGCCACATATGTCAGTGTCTTCAGCGGCAGGATCTCTCCATTCTGCAGAGCAGGTGGCAAGAGGCCAGGAGAATTAGGAAGGGCAGGGCCTAAGAATCCAGCCCAGTGCCCTGGGCTCCCACCCCTAGCTCCGCGGCTGCCCCCTGGGGGTCCAACCTCTCTCCGGGACACATCCATGAGCACGGCGAAGCTCGTCATGTGGTTGCACTGGCAGCTGACGTGGCTCTCGTTGCGGAAGACGACCTCACAGCCTCGGGCTGACCAGCCACCTGTGCCACTGACTCTGCACGAGGGAGGCAGGGGCAGGGGACCAGGAGTGTAAGGCACCCAGGGGCTTGGCTCTCCGCCCAAAGCCTTGGGGGAAGGGCAGTTTAGGCTCACAGGATGGAATGGTTCCAGAAGACACAGATGGGCTTGGTGCGCTCCTCCGTCTCCAGCAGCCGGAACTGCACCGTGACTGGCTTGTCCAGGGCACGGGGCAGAAGTTCCTCATCGTCATGGACGCTGATACTCACCACCGGCGTGTTGATGACAGGGCGTTTGGGGACTCTGATGAAGAACAGGCAGGTACACAGTCACTATGGCAGTCCCGTGGCTGAGGGAACACCCATCATCAGTTGGACATGCCCCGACCCCTGGCCTCTCTGTGCCTCAGCACTCACCCGCCCAACCTGCATCCCACCCACCCCTTGTCTCCTCAGCTGCTCACCTCAGGCTGCGCTTGTCCGGGTCATAGTTATGGGGCAGCAGCCCGGCCAGGGTGCGGTAGATGATGACGCTGGCCACAGCCTCACCCTGGCTCAGCTCTGGGTGCCGCCGCTGACGCCGAGCCAGCTCCTCTGGCTCCTGGGTCTCTCCAGGGCCCGCGGGCCTGACCACGGTGGGCGTTTCTGGGACCGGGACACTGTCCACTCAGCTGGGCCCCGCACAGATGCCCCAGCCTGGCCCCTGACCCACCCTCTGGCTCCCCACTGACCTCTGAAGACAGAATCAGGCAGAATGACCGTCGTCTCCAGGTCAGGGGGCCGCTCCCCCCGCAGCGCCTCATAGCGAGGCAGCTTGGCCCCAGCGAAGTTCCCCTTGTCCAGGCGAACTACAGAGATGACTAGGGAGAAGGGTCACAGGTCAGACCCTGGGTCAGGCCCCCAGCACAGCCACCTTGGCCAGGGCCTCTTTCCACAGCCCCTTCCCTGACCCAGCCTCACCGATGTTGGGCGTGACGATAGTGAAGGGGCTCAGGTAGGTGTGCCGCATGTTCTGAGCCAGGGCACTGGCATAGGCCTCGTAGTGCTGAAGCAGCCAGGCCGTGCCACCCTCCGTCTGCTGGATCAGCTCCCAGTGACGCTTGTTGGCCGCGTCCAGGAGGGCGCTGCCCACCCGCAGCAGATTCTGGGGTAGGCATGGTCACAGTGGGCTGCAGCCCTATACCTTCTCATCCCCACCACTGGGCCCCACTTGTGCCTCGACCAGCCCTGGCTACCCACGCCAACCATGCCACTCCTTCAAACCTTCCCTCCTCATTCTGGAACTAGGAGCTTCCCAAGCCCTGTGTCTGGACCCACACACATGGCTAGATGCTGATTCCTCCCCAGCCTGGCAAGGTGGGCAAGGCCTCTGCTCCGAGGAACCTGGTCAGGCCAGGCCCCAATACAAACGTTAGTTTCTGTTAGCACCTTACTAGAAAAAGAGCTGGAAGGAGATGCTCTAAATTCCATGGCTCGAGGGACCTCCCGGAGGCTTCATGCCAACTGGGAAGTCCCCAAAGGCAGGGATGGAGAGTGTTCCCCATTCAGCCCTCAGGTTGCCCCAGAAACGGGCTCACTCACCATGACCCCCATCTAACCAGCCAGCCCTGCCCCATCCAAGCCCCACCTCGGTGAAGTGCACATCCTGCGTGGCAGACAGCCCAAAGCCCCGCTGGGCACTCTCATGGGCCAGCAGCCGTGTGGCCAGCTGGTAGGCCACCTTGACATCACTGCCAAAGTAGCCAGCCGTGTGCTGTGTGGCATTGCGCAGAAGCAGAGCCAGCCGCTGGGAGCGTCCCGAGTCCAGACCTGATTCATTCCGCTGTAGCCGCTCAGCCTAGGATGGAGCCGGACAGGACAGGGATGGCGGGAGGTCAGCACAGGAGGATAGCAGTGAGGTCCCCAGAGGGCAGGACTGGAACTCTGGAGTAAAAGGGCCTCAGGAAAAGGGAGAAATGGCCACTCCCAGTGGGGGGGACCCTGGGGGCTGGAATTCCAAAAGCCCTTTTCTCAAAGCTAGCAGCAGTGAGGGGAGAGAGGAGGTTCACTTACAAAGCCTTTCAGCTCTGAGAAGGTGACTGATGTGCAGTTGAAAAGGTTTGGGGGGAGCCACCCCCTGTGTTCATCACAGTGGCGCACAGCAGTCCCTGGGGGAAGGAAGCCCAGATGGCAGGCCTCAGGACAGATACAGGATGCTTCCCGGACCTGCCAGAGTTCCCGGGTGCCAGGACCTCATGGGCCAGAGACAGGAGACAAGCAAACAAGGGCCCTGCCCTCCTGCAGCCCAGATGAGAAGAGTAAGAAACCCCTGCAAGATGGGCCCAAACAAGGATGCAGGAGCACAGGGCACACACTCTCCTCAAGCCCCTAGACATCGCTGTCCCTCTGCACCTTGTGCTCTCTGCCACTCTCTGCTTATGAACTCTGTTCATCATCTCAGTCCAAGGACCAGGACTGGGGCTGGGTCCCCTGGAACAGCACCCAACAGCCCCTACTCCCCAGACTGCCTTTCTAGTGGCATAATTCCTGTTCCAGGCGGTGAGTTGAGGATGGGAAGGAACCCTGTGTGATTCATCTTTGAATCTCTATACCCATCACTGTGGCTGCACACGGCAGGTGTTTCAGCATTTTTGTTAAGAATTCAGGATGTAGGTGCCCTTCATCCCGGCAACCCTGGGAGCAGAGCAACAGTGTGGGACATGGAGTCTCCAGGACCTGGAGACCAGAGAGAGGTCCCGGGATCTGCAGCCAGTCCTAGTGATGACAGGCCAAGTCCAGCACCTACCAAAGGAGCCTTTGGGGCAGGGAGCAGCAGCAGGCAGTCCGAAGCGGGTACGGGGCCACCAGATCCCAGCCTCGATGGCCCGTGGGCAGCTGTCGTAATTCACTGCAAGGAAACACACAGGGTCACCCAGGAGTAGCTGTCCCCCTGCAGCTCTGCTCAGGCTCCCAGCCCACCCTCAGCAGCCTCAGGACTGCAACCAGCCCCTGCTCCTGGCATCCCTGGGACATCGGGACCTGGCACACAGCAGGAGAGCCACCGACCCAGCATGGGAGCCCCACCTTCACAGCCATTGGTGGTGACCTCAGCAAAAGGGTTGTCACAGCGGTCACACTGGCGCCCAATGACGCCTGGCTTGCATGGACACTGGCCGTCCTCGGGGTCACAGACGCGGGACAAAGAGCCCGTGGGGTAGCAGTCACAGAGGAGGCAAGTGGGGCTGCCAGGGGGCCGGTAGTGGTTCTCCTGAGAGGGGGGACAGAGGATGCGGGTCACTGGCTCAGGCTCTCTCTCCTGGATGCTCATGGATCCTTTCAGCTGTGGCCCCTCTGGAGGGAGGCTCGCTGACTTCAGGTCCCCCCAGGAATGGTATTCAAAATATTTAACTGGTAACAATTTGCGGTTTAGCCCGTCAGTGAGATGCCAACCAGTCAGAACTGGTTGCAAACAACCAGTGAGGCCAGCCTAGAGTTCACTGGTAGAGTATCCATCCTGGGTCCCCCACACCCCAGACACATCAGAGCACGGGGCCACTTGTCCACCCCGTCAGAGCAAGGGCACACAGCCCTGAGCTCTCTCTGCAGTAAGGCCTTCTCCACTTAAGGGCCCAGGAGGCCACTGTGGAGGCCAGGTGGGGGCTGTCACCTTGCAGTGGCACTCGCCGCTTGTCTTGTTGCAGTCTGGGTCGAAGCCTTTGCTGACATCACAGTTGCACGGGCCGCACGTGGGGTGTCCCCACCAGCCTCGGGGGCAAGGCTGGTCAATCCTGCAGAGAGGAGCCCAGGCGGACATGAGCTCCCTCTGCCATCCTTGTCTGGTGCAGCCTTGTGTGGCCCTTCTGACTGTGGCTGTGGCTCACCCAGGTTCATGGTGCTCTGAGGGACACCCCAGAGACAGGCAACGGTCATGCCCTGGTCCACTTACCTGGTTTCACAATATGGCCCAAGGTAATTTGGGGGACACTCGCAGGTGTAGCCGTGGGGGGCACTGGGCTTTCGGATACACACGGACTGATGCTCACATGGGTTCAGGTCACACACGTTAGTACAGTTGTCGCCATAGTAACCTGGGACCATAACGATGAGAGAGACTCAAAGCCCACCCTCCCCTGGCACTTTCTTCAAACCTGCCTTCATCCACCACCTTCCAGTCTGAGAATCATACCAGCTGGCTATGGCTTTGCAGTGCAGGAGACAAGGCTCAGAGAGGTCATATGACCCACCTCAGGTCACACAGCAGAGCTGAAATGAGACCCTGGGTACCCACCAACCTGCCCCATTTCCCTGGATCCCTAGCATACCTGGATCACAGCTACAGGAATAGCTGTCCCAGTCATCACTGCAATAACTGTTGGCAGGACACGGATTCGAGTCACAGGGGTCCGGCAGGCTACAGCCTGGCTCCACATTGATGCTTTCCCCACGGCCAGGATCCAGACTGCTAACCCCCTCGGGCGTCTCGCTTACCCTCACACCCTGGGAGGGACGGAAGCGGTATTGGCCCTCCGTGGAGCAGGCCTCCAGGTGGTGAGGACTGGGAGGCAGGGGAGGAGGCTCACCTGCAGACAGCCCCGGAAGCCGCGGGCCACCCCACCGGCTGGCCCAGGCACTCCCCCAACTGTAATGTTGCTCAGGTGCAGCCCATGCAGCCGGGGGCCCAGGTTGCCCTCTGCCCGCTGCTGCCCGTAGTCAAGGGACAGGATGGCATGGCCAGGGCCCCCACTGGCTCCCAGCGCCAGCTGTGCACGGTGCCAGTCGCCGTCATTGGCCCGGCCTGGCTCCAGCTGGAGAGACGAGGCCTGGAGCCCTGTGCCCTCCACACTCAGCACCACATGGCCTTCCCTCAGCTGGCAGCAGGAGAAAAGAAAAGAGGGTCAGCAGACTGCCTTAATCATCTCTTCTAGCCCACTGCCGTCGTTCCTGGACCACCAAACCCATCCTACTGCCCAGCTGAGGCCAGAGAAGAAAAGGTGTTTTTTCCCTTGGGGCCAATAGATGGCAGCAGTGATCCAACAAACAGCTCTAGCGGCCTCTTCCTTGGGGACAAGAATAGACCCCGCCCAGCCATCTCTGACCAGCCCCCTGGAGGCTACAGCAGCCCTGGTCACTACCCCCTCCCTGCATCACCTGCAGGGTGATAGTGCTGCGCCCCCTGGTGACAGCCTGCAGCAGGACACCGTTGGCCTGGCGTGTGCGGAACATGAGGCTGAGGTGCCAGGGCTGGGAGATGGGCAGCGAGAGGCCGTGCCAGGCCACCAGGCTGCTGCCCAGGAAGCGCTGCGGGTTGGCCATTTCTGAGGAGGCAGATAAAGGCAGATTCTGAGGGGTGGAGCAGCCAAGTGCCCCAGGGGGTATGATGCTCAGAGGTGGTGGCTCTGTGGGAGGCAGGGCACTGCCCCTCCTAGTGCCCACTCCCCTCGTTGGCCCCACCCTCCAGAGCATTTACCTGTCCTGCGCCTACCCCATGCTGTGCCCAGGCCTGCCTCTGACTGGGCCCTTTGTCTCCAGTGCTACCCTCTCAGGGCTCTGCCCAGACACGCTTTTCCACCTACAGCCCAGCCTGGCTGGGCCCTGCCCAGCGCCTGCCCCGACCCTGCCAGTGTTCCCAGCATTGCTAACAGCTCTCGGGCCTCAGCCTCTGCTGGCTGCCCCTCCTACCCTGGGCACAGCTCTTGCCCCCGAAGCCCAGAGGGCACTCGCAGCTGAACGCGTCCCACTGGTTCACACAGGTGCCCCCATTGTTGCAACTATTGCTGTCACACACGTTCTTCTTGGCAGGGCAGCCTAGACGGGAGAGAAAGGGGCTCGGGTCGGGGCTCCAGACAGAAAACCTGTAGCCGGAGGGGCCTCTGAAACCCCCAACATGTCCCCATACCAGGCCCAGCCCTCCTTTCTGCACTGGGTTCCTGGCCTTGCCCCTGCCCCAGGTCCCCGTACCAGGCACGGTGCCGTTGTTGGCGATGAAGTCAGCCATGTCTACGTGCCGGCTGTCCACTTGCAGGTTCCTCATGCAGCCCACAAAGTGCCGCGTGCGGACAGGGAAGCTCTCGGGCAGGTCAGGTACCCCACCCAGCAGCAGGGGCCCTGTCAGATCCAGAGACCTGGGGGAGCAGAAATGATGGCAACGTGAGGCAAAACGGGGGAGCTTCTGGCTCTTCCTTCTCTCCTCTCCCTGCCACCAGGCCAGAGGCGGGAAGGGTCCAGGCAGGAGCCCAAGGGGCCCTGGAGGAAGCACAGAGAAAGCGGGGCATCCCAACCTGGAGCCACTCTCATCTCACACCCACCATCCCCCCTGCACCCCCCAGACCGCTCCATGAGACCCTGCCCTAATCGCCTAACCTTGCCGTTCCCGCTCCCCAACCCAAACCTCTGCAGAAGCCTGAGCAGGGGCTAAGGGAAGCAAGATGAGGGAAGGCCGCCATCTGGATTGGTTTCCATTTCAGGGCTCCCTGAGGCCCACTGTCTCAACCTTCCCTCCCTGCCTGGCCCCACACTGCACCCCATCCCTCAGCCCTCTCCCCTGCTCACTTTTTGCTGCCACCCTGGGTACCCTGGGCAGCACAGGAGTAGTTGCCCAGGACAGCTCCAAAACGCAGGGCCACTCCTGTGTCACAGCCATCCACGGTCACCACAGCCACCTTCTGTTCAGATGGACCCTGCGGGAGCCCTGTCTGACCTAACAGTGGCTGGACAGGGAAGGGGAGAGAAGAGAAACAGTTCAAGAAGCCCACTAGGTTCACGGGCCAGGCACAAAGGCACCAGCACATGCTGACACCGCTCTGTACACACATATATACAGGTGTGCACACGTGTGTTCACGTGACATATGTGCTCGACTGCATTCCTCAATGTCTGCTGGAGTGTGTGCCTGTCTAACAGGACAGGGGACATCTAGTACTGCCGGGTGGAAGGGAGACACCCTGGCAAAGTGGCAAGTTCCCACCCCCTTCCCCCCCTTCCATCAGAAGTGTCACCCATTACCAGCCCCCCTGGATGAAGCACCACCTAGATCTGAGCACCTGAGCCAAGGACAGAACCCTCCAGCTCTTTGACCCCCTCCCACACTCACCTTATTGTAGTACTTCAGCTGGACTGTGTGCCACTGTCCGTCACTGACCCCTCCGGGCACGAATGGAGACACAGTGGTGGTCGACTCCCCTGGGGAAAGGACCCAGGTGAGCTGGGACGTCAGATGAGGGCTGGGAATGGGGAGGGTGTGCTCACAGTTGGGACTGGGCCCAGGTTGGGCTGGGAGGGCGTGTGGCTTGGGGTCAGGGGCCACGACACATAGGGCCTTTGGGAGACGGGCAAGGACATGGGGCAACCGGGATCACCTGCAGAAAAGGTGAGCTGGACCTGCTCCTGGATCACCTCGAGGGCCACAAAGTCATGCTTCTCGTTAAAACGTCCGTTGTATAACAGCAGCCCATCGCGCTCCTTGGTGGCAAACCTGAGCAGGAGGTGGAGATGGGGGCAGGGAGCGGGGCACCAGCCTAACCCCAGCCACCTAACTAGCCCCTCCCTGATCCTACTCAGGACACTCCAGAGGGCTGACACTTGGCTAAGGTTATGGGCTGTGGAGCTGGAACGTGGAAGATGAGCCCAAACCAGAACTAAAACCAGAACCCTGACCTCCTGACTCCCCACCCTCAAAAGTAGGGTAGGAAGAGTGATAAGTGGACCCTGGCGGGTGAGGAACGTCTGCTGGCAGAGCGCACAAGCAACTCTCAAGTGCAGAGCTGGCTCTGCCAACAACCTGCTCCAAGCACTTTCGCTGCCTGACCTCTTGCCTTGCGTGCAGAATGGGAGACACCCCAGGCTCCCGCCACACTCCCTCCCCCCAGCTCAGGGCCCAGCCACTCACGAGAGGGCCAGGGTGAAGTGGAAGCGCTGGCGCAGGCCACGGAAGGTGATGAAGGAGCGGGCGGGGAAGCTGCGCGTGGTCACCTGGCAGTAGGGCTTCTCGAAGTCTCCAGATGGGCAGTCGCACTTGAAGCCACCCACCAGCAGGTTCACGCAGGTGCCTCCGTTCTTGCAGACACCTGGGGTGCAACGGCCTGAGCGGGCACTCACCTCGCAGTGCTCACCTGGGCAAGGGGAAAGCCAGGGCGGATATCAAGTGCCTGAGAGGGTAGAGTAACTGGGACGGCTCCTCACCCAGCGATACCTCCCATAACACTCCCAAATTCTCCCAAGCATCTGCACCTCCTTTCATGTGCCCACCTTCTCTGAGATCTAGGAAACCGGGGTGTTGTGTCTGGCCCACCGTGCCATTCTCACCACCATCCCATTATACTGCTCCCCTGCGAGTTCCTTGAAGCTCCCAGGCCTTTCTGTACTCCTTTTGGGGCTCAAGTGCACAGGCCTGCCGGGGTCTCTGGTCATAAGGCCCAGGTCCTAGTTAGCCTTTGGTGTCCTGGCTTCCAAGCAAGCTTGGGGGTGTTCTGTTCCCACAGGGGTGGATGTGCATGGAGGAAAGAGCCTGCAGGACAACACCAGGGCTGGTGCCAAACCCCCTTCCTCCCACCCTCCCACTGGTGCTTTTGTCTCTGCCAGGCGCCAAGATCAGTTTCCCTCTCTGGGGAAGAGACCAGGCTTCCACTTCGGTTGTCAGAGTTATGGGTGGGGGGTGAGGGGTGGGGGAAGCTGGAGACTCCCAGGAATGGGGCAGAGAACTCCCGCCCTGAGTCCTGGGGCCCAGAAGGAGGCCCTCTGTGCACTTGGGAGATGCTGACAGATTGGGGAACTGAGCCCTGGGAGCAGACCAGGATTTCAGTGGAGGAACTGAAAATTCCAACAACATCAGATGGGAAAATCCACCCCTTTCTCTCCCTCCCTATTCCCAGATTCTAGAGATAGGTTCTCAGCTCCTGTGCCTAGTGACTGGCTCTTGTTTCCATGGAAACTGTTGTTCGCCTACTCTAAGCCCCCCTCCCCATCCTCCTGGACAAAGACTCCCCTCCCATCCCCCAAGCCCTCCCCTCCCCTCCACCCCCACCCACAGCAGACTGAGAGGAGTCAAGTCTGGCAAGTTCTGGGCAGGAAGATGCAGCAGAAAGGCGGTGGGGTCTGCCCGCCAACGCTGGCAGAGCCAGTGGGCATGGCTGTGGAGGAGAGAGAGTAGGCCTAACCTATCTGGGAAGGAAGGGCCCAGGGAGGAGAGAAGGGGGTGTCCTGAGGAGAAACAGGAGCCTGCAGGGCGGGGTCAGGAGCACAAAGCAGAGGCCGGGGAGAGGATGTGTAAAAACCCAGGTCACAGGCCAACTGGGAGGCCTGACCCTTTTCCCAGCACCTGAGCAGGGGTGGAGCTATTCTGCTCAGGGTCACAAAGGTACACAGACCTTCTGAAACAACCCTACCCCGCACCCAAACCCCTCCAGTTTTTTCTATGCCTTCTTCTCAACGCCTGGGAAGAAAAGTATGGGCTGCAGCCCAAAAAGGTAACTCACTCAGTGGTGGGGGAGACCAGATTCCAGGCCCAGCCTCAGGTCTAGTCAAGCTGTGAGGTGAGACTCAGAACAAGTCGCCTGAGTCCAGTGGTCTCTTAAATCACAGCCAACACCTTCCAAGGGCTGGCTCTTTACATGTATTAAGTTAATTACATTAATCCTTACAACCACGCTGTGAGGTAAATCAATTTATCATCTCCATTTAAAAATACCGAGACACAGAGAGGTTAAGTAACTTGCCCGAGGTCACACAACTACTACTAGTGGCAAAGCTGGAATATAAACCCTAGCCAGCTGCCTCTAGAGCAGGCGCTGACCTCACTTACTACGCTGCCTGGGATGGGGGTGGGGAGTGCTGGGAGAAGGTGGGCTCCCCCCTCCTCCCTCCCCAGTAGGTCGCTGTAGAGGAGCAAGTGGGATCTGCAGATGGCCAGTGTAACCTGTGCCTGCCTTATTCTGGAAAAGAACGAGGCAGCCCCGGTCCTTAGCCTGATCTGTGCTTGCACTGAAGTGTTAGCCCTCCAGAATACCTCCCCCCGACCCCCTCCAGCTCACCCGTGTAGCCGTCGCGACAGAGGCAGGTGTAGCCGCCCTCTCGGCTGCGGCAGCGCCCATGGGGGCCGCAGGGCCGCGAGTAGCAGAGGTCCACCTCGGTCTCACAGTAGTCGCCCGTGAAGCCGGGTGGGCAGCGGCAGCGCAGCCCCCCAACGGGATGGATGGGCCGGAAGAGCACCGAGGAGGAGGCGATGAAGGGCGCGGAGGAGTCAAAGCGCAGCACCGACACGCAGCGCATGTAATTCTCGCAGGGCTCGCGCAGGCAGATGTTGTCATCGAAGGGCAGCACGCGCTGCGCCGAGATGGCCGTGAGCAGACTGCGGTTCAGGTACAGACGCTCCTGCAGGTCCTCGGAGGGCAGGAAGGGCGGCCCGCCCCCCGGCCCAGGCGGCTGGCCCACCGACAGGCTCACATTGAGGATGTGGCCACCGGGGGCGTCGGTGTCCCGCTGCACGTTGAAGACCACCACGTGGTCTGGGGGTGTGGCCAGCGTGGCGGCCACCGCCTGGATGAAGAGACCCAGTAGGGGGGACAGGAAGCGCTCTGGCGACATGTCCTCCAGGCGCAGTGTGATGCTGTGCGTGAGCATTTCGTCCGTGATGATGGTGACACGCAGTGCGCACTGGGCAGTAACACTGTGCACGCCGTCTGCGGATAAGTGACATGGGTCAGGACCTGGCACAGGGCTGGGAGGGCAGGGGTGCCAAGCCGGAGACCTAGCCTTGGGCAGGAGCACCCCAAGAAGGGAGCGGGAGCCGAAATCCAGCCCACACGCTACTGAATTGCCCAGTTGCCACAGTGGCAAAAAGTGCCTAAGAGACTACATGTAGGGAAGTCACACCTTGCTGGATCGGCCCCCACCCACACTTAAGGTGATTCCATTTTTCACAAGTTCTCTTTGCATACTTTACAAAAACCCTGCAGTGTGAAGAACGGCATGTCTTTTAATGTTTGTGCACCTTTCCCTGTCCAAGCCATGACTCTTACTCTCTTACACCAAATTCGGGACTTCCCTGCACAAGAACCCAATTTTGCCTATTTCTTACCTTTCTACAGGGCCCAGAGCACCATGAGATACCCACAAAAATGATCATCCTACCCCCTCAGCCTCTATACCTCAACACTACCATAACCCTGACCCTGGCTGTGCTCCCTCCTCCCGCACCGAGGCAGAGTGAGGGGTGAACTGGGTCAGTGGGCCACCCAGTCCCCCTCCCACTGAGCCCCATGGCTGCTTGGGCGCAGGCCTGCTATCCCCATAGCAACGCCCCACACAAAGCATTCTTCCCGCCCAACTCTCTGGGCTGCTGAAGATAGCCTGGGGAGGCCTCACCCCAGGAAATCCAGCTGAGCCACCTTTCCAGGGGCTGCACCACCCATTGCCCTGATGCTGTGAGAGATGGGGGTGGGGGGCAGAGATGGAAGGGCCTGGGCAGCTCTCCAACCTGAAACCCCAGAAAAGCCCCACTAGGCTGATCTCCCCTCCGGCCTTGGGCCTCTAGCTATTTTTCGCCCGCTTGGCTCACTGCATTGCACCCAGATGCTTGCTACACCTGCAGGCCACACACTCACTTATAAACAGCTAGGTGCTAACACACTCTACTGTCTCACTCCACCCACACTCTAAGCCCAGAAATACCATGCACACCTGAATGCACATATACGTGACATTGGATTTTATTTAGTTCGAAAATGAAAGCTGGAGGCCAGTGGGGAGGAGGAAATGGCTTGGCAGGGCTGTAAAGGGTATTCATTTTTTAAATTTACTACAATGTCCTACACATAGTAGGTGTTCGGTAAATGCTAAGATGCTGATGTCTCCATAGTGAGGAAATGATCTTTTAAACAGCAGGAGGGGCCCTGAGTTGATATTAAGAAGGAACCCCTAGTGGGAACAGGGCAGAAGATGGTGTTTCTGGGGTGGGGTGGGATTAGGGGAGGGACCTGGGAATAGATTCTGCTTCTCTGCCGTACCTACGGGAGGTGGCTAACTACACCAGGCAGCTCAGCTCAGCCAGGGAAGGCTGAAGGCAGACACCCATCTCAGCCATGGCTTTGGTCCACCCACCTGCCCTCCAGCCTCATCGCAGAGACTGCCAAAGCCTGCCTGCTCTCACCAGCAAGCTTGCCTGTCATTCCCCACTTCTGCTCCTCCTACTCTCGTCTAGAGCTACCGAACACGCTGTGCCTTCCCACCTGGCCTACCCACAGTCCTCCTACTATTCTAACCTGCCCCAAGCTCACCTACTCCAGGAGGCCTGCCCAGATTTATGACCTCAGGCTCTACTTTTCTCCCTCTTTCAGACCACCCTGCACTGAGGTGGGGAGCTGGCACAGGGCTCTCAGGCACTTGGTGCCTCTGCCCAGTGATTCCTTGATGGGATAGTCCTTCCAGGCAGAAAGCTGCTGAAGAGTCCACACAGAGCCCCTAACTGATTAGGGAGCGGAGGGGGCAGTCAAAGCCAGTGAGCAAGAGAAACCTCACCACCACTCAGCCCCGGGAACAAGCACTCCTCCCTGTGTCTCCCCACTGCCGTCCCAGGCCCCGCCCATGCCCCTCACCCAATGTGTCTCTGTTGCTTCCCATCTGGTCTACCATCTGTGACCACCTGCCCCCTCTTCTGTTGTCCCTCATCCCCAGCAGTCAACCTACTGCTCAGTCCTTCCTCTTTGTTCCTCTCCCTTGCCTTGACCTAGGTCACCCCTCAGGTGTCAAGGCAGGGTGGGAACAGGGGTCCCAGGTCCCAGACTGTGGCAGAATCAGACTCCAAACCTGTCTTCCACTGGCAGATGTGCCAGTGGAAGCGGTAGGCCTGGAGGGGGAGTGGGTGGGGGTCTGCCGCTCTGGGAGCTGACCAGACCATGCACAAGAGTTCCTGTGTGTTCCAGCAGAGTAAGAAAGAGGCAGGGAGAATTGGGGCCTCAGAAGAGCCATCCAGCCCAAGCTGGGGCAGCTTCAGCCACAGGGACAAGAGGCAGGGAAGTCAGAGGGGCATGAACGTGGAGACCAAACAGGGGAAAACAAAGACCCAGAAAAAGAGCCAGCAATGGAGAAAGTGGGAAAGGAGGAGAGAGCTACACAGGAGATCAGGAGAGGGCAATGAAGTGGGGCAGAGCAGGAGGGCCCCGTGGGCAGGGGCGGGTAAGAAAGAGAGACAAAGAACAAGAGAAGGAAAACAAAGGGGCAGTGGGAGTCAGTTCCCCCTCACCCCAGCCTCCCTTAACTTTGGGGTTGCCGTGGTGACTGCCTCCAAGGGTCAGGGCTTAAGGGACATGGTGGGGCCAGGGCTGGAGGGCCAGCCTGAGGCCTTCCCTTCTGTTCTCAGGGAGCTGTGGTCAGGGGTTCTGTCCAGGTAGGAGCCTGAAGGCTGGGTGGGGCCTCCTCAGTGTCCTGCCATACTCGCCTAGGACAGGCTGTGGGGAGGACAAGAAGCAGAGGCCCTTCTTTTCCATCCCTCCCCACAGCTTGCTTCTCCCAGCAGAAAAGGGTACAGGATACAGGAGCTCGAGCCCTTCACTTCCTCCTCCTGGAGGGAAACTGAAGCTTCAAGAGGCACAGAGCCTTGTCCATGACCTCTAAAATCTCTTATCCCCTGGCTCCTGTGGCCACCTAAGGGAGTAGGGCAGGGGAGGCATCTGTCCAGGAAGGACCCAGAGCGGGGAGGGGGCTGACCACACCCTGCATCTCACAGGTCTTTCATTGCCCTCTAGGCCCAGACTCCCTGAGGTGGCAATAGAGGGGTGCCAGACTCTTTTCTTCTCCTCCCTTATGTGTCTGGAATGGGGTATCCTGGGCCATCCATCCCTAGGGTGTCTCTAACAAGGGGCCCTCATGGGGGTGCCAGTTGTTCCCAGGCTTGGGGAAAGGACTCGGCAACCTGGGGCTGGCCCCCTCCCTGCCACTGCCAATCACTCCTCATAGCTGACAGAGAAGACAGAATGCCGCCCCCCTCCCCCCAACTCTCCTCCCCCAACCCTCTGTCCAGGGAGTCTGCGGGCTGAGCGCTTGGCCAAGCAGCAGGAATGCCTAGCCTGGGTCCTGGCCAGGCTCCCACGCCCCAGGACTCTGTTCTCTCCCCACTGGAGCAGGGGGCTCTACCCTCAAAGACCACCAGTCCCCTCGCTCATCCTGGTCCCCATACCCCATTCCTTGAGTCCAGGCTAGTCACAGACAGCAAGGAAGGCCTAGCATCCTAAGAAGAGCCCACGGGGTGGCAAGGCAGCCCAGGAGGCCTCAGCCTGGCCCTGGCTTCACCGCAGCCCCTCCCCCAAGCTGGACCCCGAACCATGGCCTCTGACAGTGGGGTCTGTTTGGACAGAGACAATGAGCTCTGGCTTCACTTCCTGCGGGAGCTCTGAAGGGGTAGCCAGGCCAGGCTCTTTCTGCCTGGAGGGAAAAGAATGCACTAGACAAAGTCCCCCTCAGCCAGTCTGGGGCTCAGCCGGGAGCCAGAAGGGGCCAGAAGAGGCCCGACAGCAGGGTCCTGACCCCTCGGCGGCAACCCTGTGCCCCACAGCCCTCTGCTCTGTCAGAAGGCTGTTATGAGATCACAAGAATACCCTGCCGGGTGTGAAGGGGTGCTGAGGGGACCGGCTCACCTCCCTGCCCCACACACAACACAGTCCTCTCTACCCCTCCCCCAGCTCTCCTGGCCCCCCAGTCCTCCACGTGCCTTTTTTCTTTTCTTTTCTTTTTTTTTCTTACAATTCTTGGCAGCCATAGCCAGGGCAGCCTCGCCACACTTGCCCTGCCACGTCACAGGGTGGTAGGCAGGGGGCAGCCAACCGAAGCAGCCCAGCCCAGTCTGGGGTGGCAGGCGGGGCCTGCACCAGCTGCCAGGATTCCCAGGGCTCCTTCCCAAGCTGCTTCTCACCCCTCAACCTCTGTGCCAGCCTCTGGGCAGAGAGGTGAGTCCAAGGCTTCTCCCTGGATGGCTGCCCAGGGCCTCCTCCAATGGCCGCCCCCACCTGACACCACCTGGGCCCTTCCTTACCTGACACTAGCACGCTCATGATGGCCTCCAGAGGCCGGTTGTTGTCCAATGCCCGGCTCAGCCTCAGTTCGCCTGTGGAGGCATTGAGCAGGACGAGGCTGAGTTCATTCCCCCGCTCAAAGCTGTAAGTCAGGCTGTCTGAGATGTCAGGGTCATGGGCAGGCACACGGCCGATGGCACCCCCAGGGAAACTGCTTGAGCGGTTGGTGACATAGTTGTTGAAAAGGATCTCAAAGTTGCCCAGCACTGGTGGGTTGTCGTTGCGGTCAAGCAGGCGGACGTGGACAGTAGCCCGGCTCACCAGGGGAGCCGACGTGGCCTGGATGACCAGGATGTATTCAGGCCGGTCTTCATAGTCCAAATCCACCAGAGCGGTCAACTCCCCAGAGAAGATGTCCAGTTGGAAGACCTCAGGGATGTTGCCCTCCACTATCTGGTACATGATCTGGGCATTGGTGCCTTCGTCAGGGTCAGTGGCTGTGACCCGGGCCACGGCCAACCCGATGGGGCTGTTCTCTTCCACAAACACATCAAACTCGTCCTGCTCAAAGACGGGTGGATTGTCGTTCACATCCAACACAGTGACCGTCACTTCCATAGGCGTGCGGGCGGGAGGCATCCCCTTGTCCACTGCATATGCCCGCAAAATGTACTGGGCCACGTTCTCACGATCCAGCCTCCGAAGCGTTCTCACGATGCCTGATGTGGACTCTACGATAAAGTCACCATCTCCATCATCACCCCCTTGGAAGGTGTAGAAGACCCTGCCATTAAGGCCAGAGTCACGGTCAGTGGCCGAGATCTGCAGCACACTGGTGAAGGGGGGCACATCCTCATAGACGCTGCCCTGGTAGGAGTCACGAAGGAACTGAGGGGCATTGTCATTCACATCATTCACCAGTATCTCCAGGTAAGTTGTGTCAGACTTCTGGGGAATGCCATTGTCCCGGGCGGTGATGGCCAGGGTATAGGACACTTGATCCTCGTAGTCCAGCTCAGCCTGGGTGGTGACAGCCCCTGTATCTGCATCAATGCGGAACTGAGGGATGCTGTCCTCCATAAAGTAGGTGATGCGGGCATTCTCACCTGTGTCCTCGTCCGTGGCACTGATCAGCACCACCGTGGTGCCTGCTGGCCGGTCCTCATTAACATTCACCGTATAGTGGGAGCTCTGAAAGACGGGACGGTGAGTGTTGGCATCAGTGACGTTCACTACCACCTGTGCCGTGTCCTGCCGTGTGCCGTCAGAGGCAGTGACAGCTAGCACATATTGCCGCTCAAGTTTGTAGTCCAATGGCAGCGCGAGCGACACCAGCCCACCACCACTCTGGCTGGTGATGGAAAAGCGGTTACGGGTGTTGCCACTGGTGATCTGGTAGGTGATGACGCTGTGGGCATCACGGTCCACAGCCGACACTGTCACCACACTGGTGCCCACAGCTGCATCCTCATTGAGTCTCACCGTGTACTCTGGTTGGGTAAAGGTGGGGTTGTTGTCGTTGACATCCAGGATGGTCACACTGACACTAGCTGAGGCAGTGAGCACTGGGGTGCCATGGTCTCGGGCTTCTACCCCAAAGCTATAGAAATCAACCTCTTCCCGGTCCAGCTCAGCTGCCACAGAGATCCAGCCTGTGCCATTGTTGATGGCAAAGGGAAAGTCATGCCCAACCCCGGCAAGGCGGTATTCCAGGCGGGCATTGTCACCAGCGTCGGCGTCAATGGCCTGGACATGGAGGACCAGGTAGCCTAAAGGGACACTCTCCAGCACAGTAGCCTGGAAAGGGGTGCTAACAAAGATGGGGGCATTGTCATTAATATCCAGGACTTGCACTGTCACCAGGCCAGAGACGTTGGAGAGCGGGGGGCGGCCACCATCCTGTGCTCTAACCCGTAGGGTATACTCCTTGGTTGTCTCATAGTCAAGAGGGCTCACCACATCCAGAGCTCCAGTCTGGGCATCCAGGTAAAACTGTCCCCGAGCGTTGCCACTCATGATGCTGTAATGCACCAAGGCATTACTGCCCTTGTCTCGATCTGAGGCTGTGACCCGGAGTACCGGGGCCCCTGGGGTCACATCCTCACGCACCTGGACCACGTAGCGCTTCTCACTGAACTGAGGGGCATTGTCATTGTCATCCTCCACAGATAGGAACACAGCAGCTGTGGCACTCCGTGGACCGGGGTCCCGACCCTGGTCACTTGCCTCCACTGTCAATTGGTAGGATTCTACTTCTTCCCTATCCACAGGGCCACGAGTTCGAATCACCCCAGAGCGAGGGTCAATCTCAAAGACTTCAGAGGGGCTGCCACCGGGGCCCTCCAGTAGGCGGTACAGAATATTGGCATTGGGAGGGGCGTCACCATCTGTGGCTCTGACCGTGAGCACCTCATAGCCAACCTCCAGGTTCTCCCTGAGGCTCTCCTTGTACTCCTGCTGCTCAAAAACAGGGTCATGATCATTGGTGTCAGTCACCAAGATGGTAAGTGTGGCCAGGGCACTGCGTCGGGGCATGCCATGATCCTGTGCCGTGACCCTGAAGACATGGGTGCTCTTGGTCTCACGATCTAGCTCCTCGGCTGTAGTTACAGCCCCCGTGATCGGGTCCAGAGAAAAGAAATGTTTGGAGCGGCTATCAAAGAGGGCATCCATGGTGTACTCAAGCCGGCCTGCCTCACCCTCATCTGGGTCAATGGCCCGCAGGGATGCCACAGGGGTACCAGCTGGCTGGTTCTCAGGCACTGTGGCCTGGTAGCTGGGGGGCTGGAACTGGGGGGCTGTATTCACATTCCTTTTCCGACGCCCGCCCATGGACTCTTCTGCTGACCTTTCCCCTGCCCTGAGCCCCGGGGTCTGCGCCAGCTTGCAGGACTGGCATCTCAGCCGTGGGGCCTTTAAGCACGGGTGTTCCTGGGGCAGGGTGAGCTTGCCCTGGGGGGAAACGTGGCCTCCAATGCCCAGGAGACGACAGCTCCATGGGCAGCCTTCAGGCGCTGGCGGCAGGGGGATGTGGGCTCCGGATTCTGGACACCAGACCCTCAGACCGTCGTGGTGGGGCACCAGGTGGCCAGTCAGCTCCGTCCCTGCATCCCTGCAGCGGCTGGTGTAGAGCCAGAGGTTGGAGGCTGAGGCTGGACAGAGCCAGCCTACGGGGGCGCAGGCCCCTGAGGAGCCACGTCCCCCGGGCCCCAGGGAACGACAGGGCCCCACTTGGTCTCCCAGCAGTGGCGGCAGTAGCAGCAGCAGCAGCAACAGCAGCAGCAGCGGCGGCGGCGGCGGCGGCAGTAGCGTTGGAAGGGGGGCGCGGGCTGCCCGGCTCTGCATCTCTCCCTGCTCCCGGCCGGCCGGGTCAACGGCGGCGGCGGCTCCTCCTCCGGCTCCAGCCGGCCCCGCCGCGCCTCATGCCCAGGCCGGGGCGCGAGTCCCCGGGGGCCACTCGTGCGCCCCTCGGGCCTGCGCTTTGCTGCCTCGGCGGGGCCCGGCGCTGAGCTCTCCGACGCACCCGGGCTCGCACCGCTCCCCGATCCCGGCCCGCGCCCGAGTCACCCCGACCACCGCTGGCTGGCGCCGCGCCTCCACTTGCGCGCCCGGCTCTCGCCACCTGCGCCCGCGGGCCCCGCGCGACCCTGGCCCTGCCGACTTCCCGAGTCTCGAGGTGCCCCTTTCGCCCCCGCGGGATCGCCCACCTGAGCCCGCGGAGCTACGCACCCGGACCCCGGCCGTCCTCGACTGCCCCGCGCCACTCGCTCGCGCCCCGCGTCCCCGCCGAGGCTGTTGCTGTCTCTGCGGCCAAGGGCCCAGCCCCACCACGATCCCTCGCCTCCCCGGCGGGCGGGCGAGCTCTGCAGAGCGGCGGCGGCAGCCGCGGCGGCGGCGGCTCATTACCATAGACCTGCTCGCGCCGCCGCCGCCTTAAAGCGGCAACGCCAGCCGCACCGAAGGAGGTGGGCCCCACCCGGCGCCCTCCTACGCACCGACGTCCTAGGATTCCCGCCGGCCAGACCTCCATTCCCAATCCCTTCCCAGGCCTGCCCCTGGGCCGGGGCCAGATCCCTACCACAAATTAGAGAAGAATTAACAATCAGAAGCCAGACAGAGAATGAGAATAACGGTGTTTGTGCCCTAAGTATGCTTACAGGTTTTCAAAAATATTTTGAAGGGCTCTCAGAGACCAAGGGCCCACCTCACACCAGTCACCATGGTCGGCTGCTGATAAGAGCCCTCGGGTCCTGGGTCAGGCTGAGCTAAAAGGGGCCTGCTCAACAGTATAAAGCCTCCCCCATATTCCAGAGTGACACCCCACCTCCCTGGAACACAGAGTCCTGAGACCCCCATCCCCACCCCTCATCCAAGTTGTGGTCTAATTAGGATGCCCCTTGGGGTCCAGTTGCTGGGCTTGGACACCCCTGGACTTTGTAGGGAGCGGTAAGCTGGGACTGCCAAAGCCAAAGCCAGTCGGTATAAACACACTAATATCACCAGCTTCTGAGGCCCAGAATGGCTGAAATTTTTACCGGGTCACAAGGCTGGTTGGGGATGGAGCCAAGCATGAGGACCCAGGCTTCCTAGATCCTAGACCAGTGGATTTCACTGCCCCATAGGGCCTCCTGTCTGGAGAGATGACCTTTTGCCCCCCTCCCTCCTTCCCCATCAGCGTCCAGTTCCCCTCCTTCCACCCACAGCTTTGTGATGAACAAACAGCCGTGCCTGGTGCACAGTGTAGGCCTACAGACTGAACCTTGCAGTTGAAAGGGGTGTGTAGGATTCCAGGAGCTCTGGAGGTGGCCCAGGCATGGAAACTGGGCCATGAAGAAAAGCCAGGCAGGGCTGGTGGAGGGTGATCTGGAAGGAGCTTCCCTGTCTCACCTCCCAATCAGAGACGCCTGTTCAGGGACAATAGGGCCAACTGCAGAGACTGCAAGGGGCCTGGCCAGGCAGTATGAGGGCTGGCCTGGGGAGGAGGGTAGGGCTTTAGTCTCAGTCCCACCACCCTCTGGTTATGTGACCTTGGTCAAATTCCCATACCTCAATTTCCATTTTGTAAAATGAGAGGATTGAATAAGGTACCTATATAAGGTTTCCACAAGTTAAATTAGCAGTAGAATCCCTTTTTCAAATGAAATTGAAGTAGAAGTCCAAAATATTAAACAGATAAAAGTAGTGTTCCTGGAATGAAGTGCAGGTTTGGGCTCTGCCCTATCCCCACCCCTCTGCCCATCAATACATCCCTGGGCCACCTTGTGGGGCTTGTGCTCTGGAGGAACCTAGTTTGAAAAGCATTGAACCAGATGCTCCCTTCCAACGCTTCATTCTGGTCACAGTAGAGGGAAACATGAATCCCCTCTCAGGGACCTGGGGCCCAGGGTCACAGTGTGACCATACAGTGATGCCTAGGGTGAGCTGATATATCACTTTCTCCTCAGGGGAAAGGAAAGGAGATGGGCCTTGGGGACAGCAAGAGGGATTAGGGTTAGGCTACATTTCTGGTAGTGGTGGTGGAAAGGATGGGGAGAAGGAAGTGGGAGGAGGACACGTGGCTCCTGGGAATGCTTTCGCCTGGATTGAAGATGAGCTTTCTTCCTCTGGGCAAGGCCAAAGGCAGCTCCAGAAGCAGAGGGATGGCTTAAGCGGCCTCTGCAGGGCTCTGCCTCTCTGGACTTGCTTTGACTCTGGTTTGGGAGGATCTGGGGCTGCGTGGGCATTTTGCTCTTCACCTAATAGCCATGTGGCACGGAGAATGCTCAGAAATTATACCATCTGTTAATTATCCTTTGAATCAGGGCTGGGTAATGAGACTCTCATTTCTGTTGAAGGCCTAAGCCAACACGTGGGGAAACTGCAGCTTTCCATTCATCTCTCTCCTTTTGTACTAAACTAAGCTTTCTGGGTGGGAGAGAGCAGCAGCCTTGGCTCTGGGTCATGTGTGGATCCCGGTTCTGGAACCTAGCACTGAGGCAGGGGTTGCCATGGAAGGCACAGGAACAGGAAGCCTCCTCCGGGTCAGTGGCCTTTCTACCCAAAAGTAGACAGTTGTGGGATGTGATGAACCTCTCCTTTCATCTCCAAGTGCATTTGGCAAATAGCCCTTAACCTTCTCCCTGCCCTGCCCCCAGGGGCACAAGACGGAGCTGCCTCTCCATCCACTGTCACCTCCTCAGCAGCATCCACCTCCCAAAAGCTGAAAGGAAACTTCCAAGTCTTCTGTGCACCAGAGTGTCTCCGACTAGGGCTTGCCCTGGTGGTGTCCTCCTTGACCCCTAGAATAAGGGGGCTGCCTATTTCATGGAACTTTCCAGCTATAAGGAACCTTTAGACCTCCCTCCTATGTGGGAGAAAACCAGGGTGAAGCAAGATCCTGGAGTCTGTTCAAAGGGAATTTACTGCTCTTCTAGGCCAAGTTTTACAGTGGAGGCTGGGGAGGGAAAGTGACCTGCTGGGATAGCCCCAGGCTCTCCCCCAGCTCTCATGGATCTTCCTCACCCAGGCTGTTTCCTGAGGGTTCCCCGGGCATATGGAGAATACATTTCTGCATAGGGCCTGGCCCTGGCTCTCAGCTGAACATGACAACATGGGTGAAGTGCTCCAGGAGCAACCGAGACAGAAAGGACTAAAGGAATTCAGAGGAGAGAGCACTGAGGGTCGAGTAAATCCTCCAGAAAGCCCTGGTAGGACTTAGGTTGCATCTCAAATCAGAAACAGCATTCCTGGCAAGAGGAATTCATAAGCAAATCCATTTAACCTGCAGGTTAAGGGTCTTCTCCAAGGTTACACAGCTTGTAAATGGCAGACCTGGGATTGGAACCCAGGCAATCTGCTTCCAAAGTTCATGCTTTTAAGCATTATACTTATGAATGAATGAGATGTGTCACCTTGGCTGAAGCCAAGGTTGGGGTGGGTATGTTGTGGCCCAGCACAGTAGGGGCAGACAAGGCCACATTTGGGAAGAACCAGGTGACCCCTGTCAGGGCAGATGCTTGTGGGCTGAAGTTCTAGGACCAATGGCCTGCTTGAAAGGAGGGGTGTGGAGAGAGGCTGCAAAAGGGAAGGGTCACGGTGACCTTTGCTGTGGGTGGGCAGGGCAGTTTCTCAGGCAGGAGAGAGAGGTGCAGGGATCCTGATTCTCCGAGGGCAAGATCCTGTTTCTGGGCTCGGTGTTGCTGTATAAAGAGCACAGAAATGGGAGGGGAGAGGCTGGCCATGTGGAACTTCAGACATTGCTGTTCTGGGACTATGGGGTGGGGTAGGATGGAAGGGACCAGGAACCAAAAGTTGGGGCAGGCCAAGACCTGAGTGTCTCTGGTCCACACTTGCCTTGTGTGCCCAGTCCGCTTCCCTGCACTTTTCTTCCCAGCTGAGGGTGCTCCTTGAGGACGGACCCCCAACTCCATGCCTGGCACTGAGGGGCTTTCCGTCAGAGTTGTGAGGATGCTTGGAGTCTTCGTGTGATTGCTTCCCCTCCAAACCAGTCTCCACTCAGCAGCCCAAGTAATTGTTTCTAAATCAATAAACATTTTTTAGATTAAAAAAAAAAATCTCTCCCAATGTTTTATTTTGGAAAATGGCAAGTGTTCAGAAAAAGGGCCAGAGGTGGGACAATGCACCCTCAGATACTCTCTATCAATTAGATTCACTAATTGTGGACACTGTTTTTTCTCGCAGTTTTTAGGGAATGAAACGAAAGTGAAGTGCAAACAGCATGGCGCCTCAACCCTTCGCAGCCCAGCACGCCCCTGTGCATTGGAGCTCTCTCCTGCATCCCACAGGGTGGCTGCCACACCCGGAACACAAAAGATGATTCCTGGTATCATCTAATATCCAGTCTAATCCAAATTCCTTGCTATCCCTCAGAGGTCTTTGATAGCTGCTACTTTCAAACCAGAGGTTTATATATAACATTTGGTTGTATATAATTTTAGTTTCCTTCCTTCCTTCCTTCCTTCCTTCCTTCCTTCCTTCCTTCCTTCCTTCCCTTCTTCCCTCCCTCCCTCCCTCCCTCCCTTCCATGTGAAAGTGACTGAAGGGTCCAAGCCAATTTTCTTATTGGATATGCCACATGCTGGATTTATCTGATTAAAAGACCCCTTATTGTTGTCTTTCACAGAGTAATACTGCAAAGTCTGATCTGAGCATGTTGCTCTCTTCCTGAAAACCTTGCGCTGGGCTTTTTGGAGGTGCTTGAATAAAAGCCAATTTCCTCATATTGGTCCACAAAGCCCAGAGGGGCCCAGCCTCCACCCCCTTCACTCTGTTCTGGGCACCCTGGCTTCCTTCCAGCTGTTGAATATGGTAGCCTTAAATAGCCCCTTTTTTCTTGGCACATATCA